ATATTTTGAAAAGCTTGAAAACTTCGAAAAACTTAAAAACTTTTAAGAAGCAGATAAACCCGCACTATAATTGAAGATTCCGAACAACCCAGGGAAAATCAAAATGGACAAATTTGAAGAATTGGTATAATTCCCAACCGTTAGAATGGTGAAGAATTTTGAAATTTAAAGGGAGATCTTAAGAATCCAAGGGGTCTGGTGTACTACAGAAATTTGAAGAATACGAAGTGATTTTGACAGGAAGTGCCGTTTGTCCTACCACCAAACGATAGGTGATGGACGGGACCCACACAAACATTTTTTTCCAAACTATCAAATAGTTCAAAATGTTTAAAACTCTCACCAGGAAAGATTGCCGGTCACAGCACACCTTGTGTCGATCTACAATCTATCTTTTCCTTAAGATGCGAGCGACTTCCGGGATAGGATCGTGCCAATGTTGAACGAAAAGTCTTTTTGTTCAACATTAACACGATACTATCCCGGAAGTCGCTCAGATCTTTAGAAAAACATAGATTTTAGATCGAGATCAAGTGTTCTGTGACCGGCAATTTTTCCTGGCGAGAGTTATAGCTATACTCCTATAGACGCCTACAAAAGCTAAAAAACATTGATCATGTGATCCAGATCATGGATATTTGGTCGCTAATATTTAAAAAGGGCCGTCACGTTGCTATATAGATTTTATGTTCAAGTATATCTTCCCACACAATGAGTCGATTTAATTTTTTAAAGTTTTACTGATATTTTGAAGGCAAACAACATGAAAATGTATTACTACTTCTTTAAATTACTTATGTATAAGGGTTGTTGCATTAGTGCAAAACACTACTTTACATTTACAAAAGTCACAACAATTTCCAATCTTCTACAGGGACATATCGTTCCCCTGTAGCAACGTCGGACAATTACGAGTACATGGCTTAGGAAAATCGGTAAGGTCCTTTGGATCAACTGTCACCATAGTCCAACGGTTTTTTACACGGTTCCAAAGCATGAATCCATTTATAGCATTCCAAATATGTTTTGAAGGGCGAAACACACTTGCCCATCCAGGATTCCTTGTCTTGTCAAATACACGGGAGAAGGATTGTGAAATTTTTGCTTCTTTAAGCACGGGTACACTAATTTCGTACTGTTATTCTCCGAATCTGGACACTGCCCGTGCAGGGTCGGGAAAGAATACCCCTACCGCAGAGGACACTGCGTGTCGTAAGAGGCGACTAAACAACTGCAGGTGGGCCGCAACCGCGAGTGATCGACGCTGCGCTGGAACATTAGGGAGAGTTTGGCAAAATCGTCTGTCTATTTTTACACGGCGAAAAGAATGTAAAGTTTGAGGTTTTTCTTAAATCCTCATGTTGATTAGGCCCCCACTGATATAGGCTCTGTTGACCGCACTGCTTCACTCGTTAACCAATGTGTTTTGTTGACAACCTTTTTAAAATTTCGTACTCATCGTGTTCGATGGGTTAGCATTCTCGGTAACATCGACAAATGACAAATTTTATTAACGGGGGTTTGTTTTCGTCTACAACGAAATTAGATTATTTGTCTAAATGCTACGTACTTTGTGTGAGTAATCAAAATGTTTACAATTTACTTCTTTCTGTGTGGGGTAAGAAATTAATTTAATAAATCGCATTAGACTGGCATTTCGCGCAAAGCTCATATTCCAGCAGAAACCGAAAGACTTTTGTTATTATGACATACATTTTATATAATAATCGATTATTATCGAGCCCCTAAAGCGAGTTCGGACTTTCTGTCGATCCGTACATAATAAACAGTTTCGAATTTTCCAATTATCTTTTCAGTATTAAGTATGTTTATCATGATCCAAAGAAAAACTTTCAGAGGGCCCGGAGATCGTTTGATATATTCCTTACAAGTTTATTTATTATTCCATTATTTTCAATTAAGTACTATTTTAATAATTGACCCTAGGGCTAATCGATTAATTACAAATTAATGCAATAGTATAATAAAAGTCTAAATATAATAAAGAGATTAATTAATTGATTAGTTACGTTTTTATTTATTACCCTATTAATATAATATTTGATTAATCTTCTATTTAAATAACCAACTTGTTTTTTATTATGACGTGTGACTTGATTAGTCAAAATTCGACTATTTTCATCGATTATCAAATAATTAAAAAATATCGGTTATTTCGGTAAGTTATTGATAAATTGACGACCTCACTAATTATTAACGGATTCGTGCTTCAAGTACCTTTGTGAAATTATTAATTGTTCTCTAATACAATAATAGTCAAATAATCACAAAAACAGTTTTATACGTACCTATGCGCGTGCGGAAATTGTAATTCGTTATATCATTGAATAAATTTTATTCAATGGTTATATCGATTATTTTTACTTTTTGGCATATTATATGGGTAGGTAAAGTATTGCTTTCGTCACAAAAAAAATCCGTTGTCGTTGTTAGCACGATAACTCAACATTGAATACATTTTTGCAAGCGCAGAGGAAAATTTCTTATTTTTGTGCCGATTTTGCTGAAATTTTAACAGCAGCACTTTTTAATAAAGCCAAACCGATCGATGATATTAAACGGTATATAGGTACTTCTTATGAAATCAAATTAAACATCCATTAAAAAAATTACTTCGCTCAATAAAAGGCGAAGCGATGCATGAGAAGTAAATACAATAAAAATAAACTGCTGGGTCTCAACAGACGCTACCGTGCGGAAAAGTTAACTCTTTTTTATCATTATTGGTTTAGCCAATTTTTAATTATTAATAAGTCCTGTTATAATAATGTTAATTGCATTAAGTGATTATTTAAAGAATTAATTAGTCACTCACTCGGTTGAACGATCTCATCTTTGTTATTCACATGATTACTTTGTTATCTATTTCAATTATTAGGATCCTGTTGGTTCAAGTAAAAACCCTATTGAATTGGGGGTGACAGGTCAGTCGTGTTAGAGGACAACGTCAACGTTTATATCTGTCGGGTCCCTCCAAATTCCCCTCTATCGGTTTGTTATAAAGTAAACGCATCTTTGAAAAACGTATTGGTAATAATCTTCTTTATATATAAAATTCTTCTGTACGTGTGTTGGTGATTGAACTCCTACTAAAGAATCGGATCTTGATCGATTTTTTATGCGTTTCTGTCTCTTGCGTGTCCCCGATAGGTTTAGATTCACAAGTGAGCCCAATCGGATTATAGGATTTCTTCAAACATTTTTTCGTTGATGTCGCACTCTGCTATTTCGCAGATCGTTACGTGGTCAAAATCACTTGCGTCGTACCGTGCCGATGTGTCTTACATTCTTGTTTGTTATTAAAAAAAACTGCACAGCGGATAGACCTACAGAATCCAAGTAAGTCAAAGGAAGTGAAATAATTTGAAGTAAAGAAAGATTCCAAAAAAACTGATGAATTTTGAAATTCGATTTTCATAATCGAAAAACGATAAAAATGCGATTAATTCGAGGTACCGGAAAAATATCAATAAAATAAAAGAATGCAAGAAATGGTAGCATTTTGGAGAATCCAAACATCGTGAAGATCCAAAAATCCAATTTGTAGAATCAGAAAAATTGGCAGAATTGGACCAAACGAAAAAATCTAGAGAATCTGATTCGAAAAAATTCTAAGGCACAGAAAATTTTAAGGAATGTTAAAAATCAAGACAAGTTTAAAAATTGAACGATTTCAAAGAAACCTGAAGGATATGAGAAAGCCTATGAACATTTGAACCATGAAGTAATCAAAACAATGCAAAGTATCCGAAGAACTTTAAGAATCAGAAAAACTCAATAACCCAAATCATCCGAAGTGAAGCTAAGGAAAAGATAAAAATTATCAAGGGTTTGAGCAACTTGACGAATTATTAAAACTGTGCGAAGGATCTCATTCATCCGAAGAAACGAAACAATCGGAAAAAGTGAATAATCCAAAAAATATGAAAAATCAAAAGAACCCGAATGTGAAGTATTCGAATTGTTTCGATGCCTTCACTGCGATTGTGAATATTTTTATCCAGTATTCCGTATTGGTATTAACATATTTTGCAACTTACTATACCAATGCTCCAAAGTTTTTTTTGTGTAAGAGGAGGAATTTGGGGATCCAAATCGATACTAAATTTACAAACATAATTTAATTGCATTACATATTTAGGTACATATTTACAAACGATACATGGCAGGCAACAGGATATTTTGCTTTAAATATGCTTTAAACCTAGACGTGTTTCTCTACACTTTTACATATCATCATAAAAACAATGTATACAATATTAACACGAGAGGATATACAAAGTTTATAAACAATTATATTTATACAACAAAAAATATCGTCTTAAAAAGGCCATAATATCTCACACTAAGATAAAAAATATTTTGAAGGTGTAAATGCGGATTTAAATAGATTTTTCATGGAAAATGTGCGTCGTGCATGAGAACGATCGACTTCGCCTAAATAAAAATGCGGTGAGAAAACGTACGACTAAAATTGAAAAATTCGAAGGCACTGTGGGGAGTTTGCGTTGTGCATTTGGACGAATTTTGAAAAGCAATGAAAGAGACTAATTTACATCCGAATTTACACTATCACAAGGTTTGCGCTAAACGGTTAAAAGTATACAACTAAAATCTTAAAAATAAATGAGCACCTTTGGTTTTGTTTATAATACCGACTATATTCATGAATATATCAAAAAAACTGTTAGAATATCGGTCCTTTTCATAAGTGGGTAACGTTAAAAATTAGAAAAATATTTTGACAATCATCACAGTCGGGTTAACACATGTCTTTTTTCATGAATATAGTTTACTAGTTATAATTGCACATCATCTAACACAAACAAAGCTCCTGGGAACATTTTCTAGTTTCACATCGTCATAATACAAGTAAAAAACGTTCACTTTCAATCTTCAATCAAATATTCACACAATTACAAACAAAATTGGTAAATTCTTCGTGTGTGTACTGCGTGGTGGCGCTATGATATGCTTGATTTACAATCATAAATGATCTTTAGTTAGTCTAAAGATATTCAGATTAGAACCTGATATTGAACGTAAGTGGAAGTATTGTCCGAAAATCACAGAAATTGGGCTAGAATGGAAGTGTCATTCATAATTTATAGAAATTCACCACCGACCCTGCAGTACTCACAAGAGTTGTTAAAATTTAAACATTTAACAATGACTATCAAAAGCGGGTACCACCAACGTCATAAAAGCTTAAATTTTTTTTAAAAAGAACAGATTTTGCACTCGTTTCGTTTACCTTTGATCCTAGGAAGTTTTAGCAGACACTAACTCGCGCTATTGACTATCCTGCACTCACTATTATCTTTACCTACTTTTCTTTTTGCACAATTTGGCCAGTTTCCTTCGCTTAAGTATCATTTCGTACAACACTTCGAGACCCTCCTGCAGACCGTCGCCCGTAATCGCGCATGCGGGCTGCACGTGCCACAAGTGTCCACCGGGCGCACCACCCCCCAGCTCGCAAAGTCCCAACAATTTCTCGAGATCACGCGGTTCCCGCGCACCGGGCAGGTCCTGCTTGTTCGCCAACACCAAGATGGGCACGCCGGTATTTTCGGGCGATTTCACTGTCCGAATCAGCTCCATCTTCGCCTCCTCCATTCGTTCGACGTCGACGCTATCCAGCACGAAGACGATACCATCGGTACACCTCGTGTAGGACTTCCATAGCGGCCTCAGCTTCTCCTGTCCCCCGACGTCCCAAACGAGAAAATTGACACCCTTAGCTTTCCCGATCATCCCCTTCACCTTTTCACAATTAAACCCGATCGTCGGCACAGTATTGAGGTACTGGTCAAACTTCAGTCTGTAAAGTGCCGTCGTCTTCCCCGCCGAATCCAATCCCAGCATCACTATGTGAAGAGTACCTTGACCTGATGGGAGCGCGTCTAGCAAGGAGGAGTTCTTTCCCATATTGGCACCCATTGGCCCCCGCTTCTTAGTTACATTTTGATTAACTTCTCTTTACACTTAGCAGCGAATACGGAGCGGCTGTCATCGTTCTGAAACAAAAAGAACTTCGTCAGCGGGGCAGACTTAGGTAAACGTCAAACGTAGTGACATTTTAAACTTAATCGCAATACATTTCAAATGGGGTTTTTGGGGAGCAAAGCTCCGGCTATTACTCGAATATTCTATGAGCGCACGAAATAAAGCTGATATGGGTATTTTATTCCTCAAATAAAAGCCTTGTTGATTCCACCGTGAAATTTAGACGACAAATGGCCGTTTGCACCGACAAATTTAAGCGGTGCTTAGCTTAAAATCCAAGACAACCACTGTCTCAATAATCGTTGCCATGGATTTTAAGCTACGCTTAAGCTAAGCTCCGCTTAAATTTGCCGGTGCGCTTACTAAAATATATGCGTTCGTACTTGAAAAGTGGAATAACCGATGAACTGCATAGATTCTGCATTGCGGCTCAAGAAAAAGAAAAGTCCTAAGGGCATTTTCGGCAAGATATAATCTGCAATTCCGCAAAATGTGTACGTAAAAGAATGGCAATTGTCAAGCCCAAATTTGCCCCAAAATGGCAAAAATTCATGTATCACACGGTATCATATGCACTGAAAGAGGGTACATTGGGACATTGAAAGTTTGGGCGATATTACGCGGCCGTGCAAAGTCGACACTTTCAAGATAAAGTTGATGTTAAACAGTTGCCCGTAACATATCGTTTTAAAATTCAAGTATTGATGACGCGTATCATTTCTAATTTAAACCAAACAATTATAGAGTAAATCAAGCTTTTATTGTGAAGTTTCAGGTGGAAACATTACAAAACAAAAGTCAAAAGTTCTTATTTATTTCCTAACTGTATAGATTATCTTACATCAAGAACTTTTCGAATGTGTTTTGTAATGAAACTAAAAAATTAAAAAAATCTCAAATTTGTTATCAAAAAAAATGATCAAAGAAACATGAAAGCGATCCGGAAATATTCACGTCCAAGAAAGTTCAATGCAGGTTAATTTCCTGTGCTCACAAGGCTATTTAACAAGGGCAAGGGTAGAGACCTAACAGCTCATGTTTATTAATTAAGTGTTTTGTTCTTGGGAATACATCAGGTTTCTCGAGTTGGGTTTGCAGAGAGTAGAACATTTTGCGCTCGCTTTGGAATCAAGTTTGAATGAAATTGGTCAAATTATGCGCTCTACATTTTCATTGAATTGAAAAAAAAATGTGCTATCGTTCGTCCATGTGTCTTTACTGTAAGGAATGTTCTTCAAGTGATAATGTTAATCGATCAACCTCCCCTTTACGACCTTATACTATCCATACTAACCTTTCAGGGGGATGAAAAAGGAATATAGGCAGAAAATTTGTACTGTCACCTTTCGTCCCTCATAATAAAATACACAGAGTGCAAAAATGTAATCACTCCATCCATTTTTGAAACTTTGACATCAGGTTTTTCAGATGATTTTGTTGGGAAAACATACAAACTCTTTACTTTGAAGTCACTAAGTGAATTTTTGGAAATGAAATCGTTTAACCTCACTGACACTTGTCACTTTGTATCAAACGTGCGGAACTGAGTACTCCCCCCCCCCATTCTATTATAAAATTGCTAATGAGATTGAATTCGAATTCACTTCTCTCTCCATGTCAAATTATTTAACAAATTCTCTTTCAGTGATTAATTTCAGTTAAAATCGAAACATTCTCATTTGCATCCTATAGGACTTGACTTGCACGCTTCTTTCAGTGAATTTGAATTGAACAGATTAAAGTAATCGTTGCTCATTTTCGGTAGTAGTAAACTGTACCTACTCCGGAAATTACTATCGATTTACTGTTTTCCTTTCGCAGTCAATTTAGCACTTTCCATTAACCCGTATATAGGTATCAATTCATTTCTCGTTTTATGTTTGTTTCACTTATGCAAAAGACATTTGCGAATCCTGTTTTATTCAGTAAAAATCTCTTCCTCTCACATATTTCTAGAATGTGCCTTGCACCGCTTTCGGAGGATTAACCTTGGAGAATTTCATAAGCGCCCTTAGCTATTATCCCCAACCCCTTTACTTCTACTACGATCTTGACATGATTTATTTAATTTCCATCTACCTAAAACCGAGAATCTCTCCCATTTCGGAAAAGTATTGAATTAAAAATACTTTTTGCGTAATCTCCGTGCTGAGATCTCAAACCCTCAGATGAGCTGGTGGAATTCGCCCATTTGTATTTTCCATGATGAATACGCTAAGAAATCTAGATTTATCGATATTATCCTACACATCTTTAAAATATTTACTTTTTAATAACTCTTTATTATTCCTGCAATTTTATTTGAATCTACTCCGGAAAATCCGGAGTTTTCTTAGAACATTTCCTTTTTAGAACCTTTAGAGAATCTTAGAACAATTATAACCTTCAAAAACATTTGTTTGAGCCGGTTTGGGATTCTAATTTTTATTAAACAAAAACCGGAACAAAATGATAACCAGGAAGTCCAAGAGGAGGAGGAAACGCGAGAGATTAAAAGCGAAAAGCACAATTGTACTTCAACAGGCACGCAAAAACCGATACGTAATGGGGGAAGAGGAAGAAATAAACGAGGTGGAGGGCTTTGCAAGAATTAGAGTGAATGTGTAGGGAAAAACAATGACACAGTAGATCATAGAAAATAGGTTAGAAGAGAAAGAGAGAAGTAGGGGAGGTGACCTAATCGCTAGAATAAGGAATAACGGAGAATGATATCGATTACAAGAGAAAACATCAAGAGATTAACAATGCGGTAAAGAGGGAGAAACTGCAAGAAACCGACATTAAGAATGCACGGAAACATGGGAGTATTTTACCCTAGGTCGGTAATAGATTGATTGCATCATAGTAAATGGAAAAGCAATGGTAGAAACAAGGACGAAATCGAATCACCAGCTGGTGGAGGACATTTGCAAGAGAGAAATAAGAAGAGCAAACAATTTAACGTCACAAAGACGAAAAGAAAGACAGAAAAAATGTAGATAGTTAAAAAAGAAGGCTGAACGAATAAGAAGAAGAAGAGTATGCGCTAACAAAGAGGAACACTAGAAAAAGACGCAGAAGAATGTGTTATAAACCTTTATCAGTCCTTATAAAGAGCATTTACCTAAGAGTTCTCCAATGGTCCTCACTCAACACTGCAAAAGTTTTAAATATAGGCACGAAGGGGGGCCTTGACTTGAACCAACAAACGCCTTTAATAAATCTCAAAGCCTTTATGAATCTTTAACAACCTTAAAGACTTTAGTGCGTTTTAAGCAGGCCTCTCCAGAGATCTGTAGGAACGTTTGGGAGTACTTAAGCATTTAATAATCTCTTTCAAACCGTTTAAAATTTTTAAGCTAAAGCTGTTTATTGCTGTTAAAAGAGTATTTAAAAGCTTGCACGAGTCGCCAAAAGGATCTCCTCTAAGAATCTCCAGCTATTTAATGTGTTATAGAGCCCTATGGGGCTTGCAAGTGTTTTTCGGAGCCCTTAAGTGTCTGTAAGGGTATTAAATTTCCGAATAGTGAGGAGATCCTTCACGTAGGACCAGCTTCTAAGAGCCTGCAGAGGTAAACTTAAAAGGCCTTAAACGCTTGTAAGGACCACTTTCCACTTCGCAAAAACTAGTGTCGACACAAGTCACTAAAATCCCTTGTTGAACAGCCGATTTCATATGTTATACGAGTACTTAAAAAAGTACCGATTCTTATAGACCATTTCGTCTGTTATACTATCGTATTTGCATCCATATCAATCAGTAAAGTAAATACAATACGAAGATCCCTTACGATTTTCAGTAGGGTAATTTTTCGACACAGCTCGTATTCGGAAACACGACTTTTAATCACGTCCCTGAAGTGGGAAGGACAGGTATGAGCCCAAAAATTGTTCAATTTTGAGCTTTTCAACGGGTATCGTTTGCAATTTTTGAGTTCTAATAGTTGGTTCACAAATAGCTCAAAAATTATTAAACGATCAATATTTATGAGCGTTTGAGCTGTTCAACGGCACCATTTTTAATTTTTGAGCTCTCGTGGTCATTTTGCAAATTAAATTTATAGATGACCTGCTAACTTCATGTCAATTTAACAAGTAGGAGCTTAAAAATTGTAAATCGGGCGATATTTATGTGTTTTTTTAGCTTTTCAACGGCACCATTCTCAATTTTATAACTCCAATACAGATCAATGTTGTAATAGTTATTTATTATACAAGACGATAAAGGGATATTTTAACAATTGAGTGAAAGATGTTAAATCACGAGATGGTTAGTTTCCTTTTATCGTCGTGATTTCCCTATGAAAATGCCCGTGTTAAGAAAAAAATTGAATACTTTCTTATTTATTGATTGATATCGAAGCAAACTTGATCCAATATAATCATCGCTCGTTGCTCTTTGTGAACATTGAAAACCAATGGTTGGCATAATTACCGGTGAAGAAATCACGTTGCTGGAAATGTTAGTTGCGAACTGTATGAACCTTGCAAAATTCACTTTTCCAGCAAGATAATTCTCGTTACTATAGTTAGATTTGAAGTGGCTAATATCCTACTCTCGCCTACCAGTAGAAATTGGGAGGAATTTGGGGTTTAGAGGAGGCTAAAGTGGTAGTAAGTATGTTGTAATGAGAACTGAACACTAGGATTATGTAGATACGCTCAAAGGGTAAATGCCAAAGACATTTTGAATATTTTGTTAGGTACAGGGTACAGTACGTTCCATGAATGCAAAAAGTGCTAAATCGTTATTAGGTACGAAGATGTAGAAGGTCGCGAGGAAATACACTGGTACTCATATGAATATTGCATGTTATCGGTATTTAAATAACCTTATCACTGTTAAAATATTACGACACAATGTACGGCATTGTGTGTTAAACCAAGTATATGCAAGATAGCTATCCTAAACGCAAATTTTGCATTTGCAATTCAACGTGCGGAAGAGAAGGGCTTCGGGATACGATATGGCCACTGTTGAATTGCTACCATTTCCATTTCACCTTTATCGAGAAACCAAAATTGCATACGC